TTAATTAAAATTTTGAGTAATCAATTAATCGCACAGCCCTATAAATAACCGATTTGAAAATTTTTTAAAATGATTAGCGAATTATTATTTTAAAATGTTTAACTCAAACATATATTTTCACTTTTCACTGAGTAAAGATTTACTCACTATCCTGTTAAAAAGGAATAAATAACTATATTGACTCACGCAAAATTGTAGTGAACTTTATATATTTGCAATGTTGTTCATTTGAAATTTGTTTCGCTATTTTTTTTATAAAAGTAGAGCTCATTACCTAACAAAAACTATAGAAATCCTAATTCCAAACTGTGCAAAAATTCAAAAAAATAAACAAAGTTACATTAGAATTGCAAGCATTTCAGTCAATTTCAATTTCTGGAAATTATCTGCGTACCAAAACGCATGTAAAGCTATTTTATTTATTTTATATCTCCTTTTTTCACATAAAAAGCATCAGTGAGACATTTCTACCATATAATTTATTATAAAATTCGGGAAATTAAATGTAAAATAAAAATTCTCTGTAATTTTCTTTTAACGTTTCACCAATGCGATTTGTTTTGAATTCAAGTGTAATTTTACATACGATTACTCGGTTTTTCTTTTTTTTATTATACATCTGTAGCTCGTTTCTGTAACAATTCGCCTTGTGCTCTACTGCTAATGAGCAGTGTTCAGAACTTTTGGACCAACCGGCTAAATTGGCTAAAAAAAACCGGCTAAAAACGGCTAAACTGTTTCTCTTAAATTTCACGTTTTATTTAAGCAAATCACAGGTAGAAAAACTAAGTAGTTCTTGGAGAGAAATTGCAAATTCAAGTTGGAAAAAATTTTGCAAGCAAGAATTTGCAATTAGGAAAAACATATGATTGTGGCACATGGTTGGATTTTTTGTCGACGATAATTTTAACAAACAAGTTCGTTAAATTTAAAATTTATAAACTTGAGCGATTTTGAAATGAATAATTTAAGTAAATACTTGCTTACTTAATTAATTTAGTTAATTCCAATGATTGAGAAGGTACTCGGCAGAAAAAACTGTATTCGTAATCGGAATGCAATCGTAACCAGAGTCGATTTAGGAAACCCGACAGTTACTACGACAAAGAAATTGAAAGGTATGTTGAAGAAAGTCGGAGTAACAAGAAATATACATGTAGATCCTGTTTATTGCTCATCTGAAAGAATTTTAAAAATTCTATACAAATTTATTATGTTTGAAATGCAACCGTGGACCCTAGCTGGCAGGGAAACTTGCAAATTCCTGCAAATTTGCGTTCGTGCAGAAACTTGCAAATTTATCTACTTGAGAGAGAATTTGGGAGCATTTTTTCTTACTATCTGATATTTTGAGTGACAATTCTCGCTGGATTTTCGAAGAAAAAACCTATTGTCTTCCCATAGAGTTTTGCTCTTGTTTTCATTTTGACATTTGGTTTTTTTAATTCAAGTTGGCGTTCGGTTTTTGGAATTTAAATAAGTTCTCAGCAAAAACATTTGTTTAACAAAATACATATGTATGTGTACATAGTGCTTGCAAATACATATCAATTTTTCCCTTACCTTCAACCTTTAAGCTTGGGCAACAATGATGTTTCTTCGCACTTAAATTTAAGACATTCATAACAAACATTTTATGAAGAAAATCCCCGCTACGGCCTTCTTTAGAAAAAATATATTCGTTTAAAATAAAAATAAGTGAAATCGGCCAAATTTTATATAACCCTGCCTGACATGAAAATTTTCTCCGCGATAAGGCTAGTAGCCATTTCTAACAGATTTTGGGTCGCTTAGTTAAAAATGGAAACATATGTATATATTTGACTTTTAAGAAAACAAGGCAAATAGCAAAATCGGCTAAAAACGGCTATTTTTTAACCGACTTCCAAAAAAGGAGGAGGTTATCAGTGGTCCCATACTAATCTGGTTAAGATCCGATCAGCGGATCATGAGATATATATATATATATTTTTTTTTATATGGGAGTTGAAGTCGGTTTTTTTTTTTTTGCTAAAAATTACTAGTTTTTGCAAAACGTCTAACAAATCGGCTGCGGGCTAAACCGAAATTTCTCCGGCTGTTTGCTATCGCAACCGGCTAAATCTAGCCGGAAAACGGTTAAAATGGCAACACTGCTAATGAGTAATAGATACACGTAAATTATCTACCAGTAGAGAAATAATCGTTAGGGAAGGCTTAGAGAAACGAGCTACAATACTGTAATGTTTGCTGACTGCACTTGTAGATACTGCCAATATAGAAGTATTACATATGAGCTGTTATAAATGAAAGTGGTGAAAGTTGCATAAATCGAGATATTTAAAAGTTTGCATTTGATTAATTTTAAAAATTTTGGTAAAGTTTAATACTCCGGGTGATGTTTCTTTAAGTGCTATGAGACCAAATTTTATTATGCAATAATTAATATTAACGTTGCTAACGAAACTAACATAGTTTTTAACCCCGTAATGGACTTGCACCACTCTCAAAAATAACAAATTCTAAAATAAAAAATAAGGAAAAGTATAAGTCCATGTGTTAACACCCTTTATGGAAATTTTATTTGTTAAAAAATCATTTTTTATTTATTTATTTTTATACTTAAGAAAAAAATAACTAAAACAAGTATTCAAGAAATAACTAAAACAAATAATAAATAAGAAAAGATTGTGATTATTATGTCAAATGAACGTAAAATTTATATTTCTGATCATTTAATTCCAAAGTAAAAAAATGCAAGTAAGGCTTTATTGGCATGTCTAATTTACAGTTAGACTAGTGAAGAATAGGCGGTATGAAAGGAAGTAAACTCATCATGCCTGTGTATTTCTCCTTTGTAACAGGTCTTCAACATAGTAATCTTGCTAAGATATTTCGGTCTTCCCCTTTTCCCAAATAGAAAAATTGCTTTAAATGGAGCGCCTGGTCCCATAGTAGTTTTATAAAAAAATTTTGTGAGGCTCGTCTTATCTGATTCTCATCCAGCAAATTTGCAACCAATTTACTGTCGTACGCTGCGTAGATGCATTTAAAAACGTGTTCTGTTGCTCGAAACTCCCCATTTGCCAAAATAAATGAAAGAGGGATTTTCCCTTTACCTCTGAAATGCGATTCTTGAACACTTTCGCACATTTGCAATTTTTATTTCGAAATTTCTTTGCGGGGATAACTTTTCCAATTTTGGTATAATATTTATCGCCTTTATTTCTTTTGACTTTCCTAACTTTCTGCCCATTGTTGAGTCTGTTAACTTCAAAATTCTATGCCCCTTTTTAGTTGGCAATCTCGAATTATCATTGCTCGAAAAGCTCTCATCATCGGAATCAAAGAGTTGATTTCTTTTTCGTATACGAACTGGTCTTATTTCTGTAATAAAAAAGTTAAATCTAAGTTCACTCCGGATATTGGTTTTACTAAATATGAAAGTTACAACTTTTCCGCCGTAACTCAATGTTAATCTTACTTACCACTATCACAGTACGAACAAATTGATGTATTCATTATATGAAATATTATTTACGTATGTAAACATTCATTGCTTTTATAATAGTAGAGGAACACCAAATAATAGGAATTGCGAACAAACCAAACATTACTTTGACATCAGTTACCCTGTTTACACTTTTGGTTTTAAAGATTCCTACAATCGCCATAAATATTTGCCAAATATCTGCACAATCGTAACAATCAATAATAATAGCCATTAAAATGTTGTTTCAATTATGATCATTACGAATGGACTTAAACCACTTAAAAAAAAATATTTCTGCGATAAGATTGTAAAGTAAATTTGTTTTGATTATTTTTTTGATAAATTTTGCACCATTGAATTTAATTTAATATACATAAAAAGATGGTGTCTATACCTAACTAAAACAGTAATCAACTCATTTTTTTCCAAAAGTGGACTTACACCACTTTCATTTATAACCGCTCATATATGGCCGGCACATGTAGTATTTAAATGATAGAAACAAATTTTTTAATGTGCAAAATTAATAAGATTCATATGAAATTTCAATTGGTAAACGCTTGTCAATAGCATTTTCAATGTTGATAATTTATCAAGAAAAGAGCTTTTGATTTCTATGCTTGAATTCCAATCCTTAATAAATAATAAAAAATTGACAAATTATAAAATTGTTGTATTTATCAAGTGCACAGAATCCATATATGTAATACTTCTATATTGGCAGTAAGCTAGCATCTCAATGTGTAAGCATTTCGAAATCAAAGCGAGACAGTCTAGTACCGTTTTTGTCAATGTATTGTGTACGTGAGTGCCGTTTTTGGGTGTGTGTTGTGTACATGTTTATTTATAAACGAATGTGTTCCTTTTCTTTCGAACGTGTTTATTGATATATCTGTACTGTAGTGTTTTCGGACGGTACTAGCTCTTACTGCCAATATAGGAGTATTACATATATGACAGAATCGGGTTGTAAGAATAAAAGTAAGCATTTAAAATCTTTTTTGGAACTAGCTGTCAACCAAGCGTTCTGTTGCTATACAAAATAAGTTAATAGTAAAAGCAAATATTTTTAAAGCAGGCTTGAGCGAAATCGGACCATAAATACTGGTTTACCAAACATATCGACTCCTGCGCCACCTATCGGATTAATTCATCTTTCATATTGCATTGTCATCGGGTTCTGACTGAACTATGAAGTTTCAAGTAGCTAGATCATCGGGAAGTGGGTCAAAAATTTATTGCAAGATTTGCCCCAAACAAACATATGTATGTACATACATTTGTACATACTTGCATACAGAGCAAGTTAAATAAAAGCTTGTAAAATAGAGGAATAGGTACGTTTTGCTCCCAAAGCACATTGAACAGGTGATAGCACCAGAGCAAAAACAAAAAGCTACGTGCGATTTCTTATTGAATTTGGATCTAGAATGTCAAAATAAGTGAAGTTTCAAGTATGTATGATTTTAACTTGACTGAATAACCGCGTAATACGTTAAAAAATGGTTAAGCGCGCTCCAGCAACGGTTTTTTACTAGGTTTAATACTTACTGATCTCGAACAGCAATAGTAGGAACTCCTTTAGTTGCAGTGTTTGACTGAAGTGCGGGGGGACTTCTGAATTCTTGTTGAGAGGCAGCGGATTTGCAACTAACTCGTTCCAATGTGATTTGTTTTTTGAGTATTTCAGGCCTCAACGATTTGAAAATGCTGCCTTGGACTGAACATATTTCGGATTTTTCTTTGAAGTTATATTCAAAAGCTCCTCGGCCGTTCTTATCATTATTGACACAGGCAGTCTCCGCGCCTTTTAATATGTTACAACATTCGAAAAATAACCTCTCATCTGGATTGAGATTTAAGCGTGACGTGTTGTTAAAAGGTGTTTTAACTTTGCCGCCGTCATTTAGCTCTCGTCTTTCGCTACCATCAACAGCATCAACTCGTTCTAAATTATTATATTGTATATCAGTGACATCGTTTCCCTTTCTCTCAGTTAATCGTTGCATTTCATTGCCGTCCTCTGATTTTTTTGAAGCAATGCATTCAGCTGAGATATTCGTTTTCAGATCATTATCAGCCACGGCTTTACATATTATTGGCGGAGTGTTCTCCAAGCTTTTTGATAGCAGGTATTCTTGTGCAGATAATTTTGATACATGAGCTAATGTCATATTGTGTTTTGTTAAAGAATGTAGAGTATAAAAAACTTTTTTACACAAAGTACACTCAAATTTCTCCGCAGTAGAGTCATGATTGACACGTTTTTTTGGTCTCCGTTTCAGTAAAATGCTTCTTCTCCGACGTCTTCTTCTGCTCCGTCCTCTTCCTACGTCTTGTGAATAACTGGTATACACGCTAAGTTCATCTTCTAAATCCATGTCCATCACTTCTGTATTTGTATTTTCATCGCAAATAGATCCAAAATTTGAACGATCGTCGTTAAAGTTGGGAGCACTTCTAACACTCATGGACGTTGGCGGCCGACTATAACACTTACTATTCGAATCGTCTTGCAATTCATTGGCTAATTCAAACCCATCATTAATAAACATGAATTCTTCGTTCTCAGCAGACATGATCTTTTCATTCACGTTTTTAGCTATTTCTGTGAGATAATTGTCTTCTTCAACATCACATATTTCTTCCATATTCTTTTCCCTGTCACATGCTTCCGAATTTTCATTATTTTCGTTTTTGTGTATATTCTTATTAAGTCGCGGATCGCGACTGGAAACAACGCTTTTGGTTTCTACAGTTGGTGCTATTTGATTATTAATGTTAGTTTCAGTATTAGCAGATAGGATGCTTGGCCTTAAAAGCGATGATCTAGCAGCAGCCGGTAAATGAGATTTTGTTTCAGAAACGTTTATGGGAGCCGAATTCCTGGCTTCTAACTCTGTTAGTTGTTTTTCTATGCCTATGGAAAATGATTCAAGTGACGACTTAAGCTTACTTATATTCTCATTATCTAACGGTTTTCCTTTGCCACGATAATTGCGTTTTTTATTTCTTTTGATGGTGACATCTTTTTCTTTGGTTTTCTCACTGGGTTCATTGTTTGTACTTATAGATGGTGTCACTTCATCTACAGCTTGAGTAGATTTGTTACAGGTAATATTTTGTTTTAGTCGGGCTTTGCTTGTTTTCGGTTTGCTTTGATCTTGCTTCTGCCGACCTGCAGCCTCGATGTTTTTACTTGAACTTACATCGTTGTTTAGTTGATCGTTCTTAGAAGATGTAACAGTTCGTTTTGTGCTTGACATTAAAAGCATTCCTGTTACAAATAGATCCTCACTTTTCTCATAAGCTAAGTTTTCTAGCCTTTTGAGGTTATCACGACGTGTTTTATCAATTTTGAAGCTTTCCAAAAGTTGGTCCGCCACAATCGCAGCCAACTCATTCTTACGTCGACGTCTCTGTTTCTTTTTGGCCTCGATGGTATTTTCTACTTGGCCGCAGCTGTGGAAACCAGATGAGGTATTATTTATGTTGCTCATATTTTCCTCAGTTATGAGATTAGGATTTATATCGTTGAAAATCCCAACTGTAGGTGAAACGCAATTATTAACTTCTTTATTGGGCTCAGTTGAAAAACTTAAGGGTTCTTTATCAATTATTTGCGTTTCATTGGAAACACTTAAGTCGGTACAAGTTTTCTGACATGATATTGTTTCGCACCCTGGAAGTGGGGTGTCACCGACACTGGATTTCATTTCACATTGTGACGAATTTTCAATATTTGGAGAAGATTCAGAGTTTTTAGATGTAGTTAACGTTGTGGTTGTGTGCAAACTATCTAACACTATTTCTGGCATCGTTGCTAGTACGTTTGGACGACAATCTAAAGTTTTTGATCGCACATAACGTTTTTGAGGTAAAAAAACTATAGATTCTTTGGAATTATCTTTTTCGATTACGGCTGCTTCTTCGTTTGTCTTTTGCAGATTAACTACCGCATCGGACAATGATGATTTCGCTAAAACCATTTGCGATGCCCTTGGCTGCGTTTGCACAAGTTGCTCTACTGGTGTCGAATTTCTTAGATGTAATGCAGGTATTGGATTAATTTTCTGAGCCAATTTATTAGTTTTGTCACTGTCTTTTTCATCACTGTCTGGCAGACTTGCTGTCACGGCATTAATTACTGAGTTTATGGCGTCGTCAATGTGATTAATAACTTCCTCATCCATTTTTAGAGAAGTTTTTCCTTTCGCCAAAATATCCCTTTTATGCAACGAAGATTCTTTGTTAGCTCCTTTGCCGCTATTTGTGGTTACTGGCTTCGAAGCATTTTCGTTGGTGTTTTTGCTTGAATTCCTTTTTCTGGAAGAGCATTTAGGAGTGGGATTCACCAAAACCGTTTCTGTGGTAGTCGTATTTCCAGGATTTCGTATTTGTGGTATTTTTAAAAGTTCCAGATTAGAATAAAATTGCTTGTTTAAAACAGCATCATTAGGTGGAGCCATAGTCATGTTAATGCCTACTGGAGTTATGGAATGCGTCTCAATAGGTTTTATAAGAGGTGTTAACGTCATTACAGCAGATGCATCCTGTGTTTGATCTTTGCCCGATTTTTTGGAGAGGTCCAATGGTTCGTCTTCCAGAATGAAATTTCTTGCCTCAAAACCACAAATTGTTTGTCTTCTTACCGGTATGCCACTGCCACCCCGATATGGATTAAAACAAAGTAGTTCGTTTGGAGTATGCTTCTTCACACTTTTCGTGTTGGATAAATTCAAAGGTTCTGAATTGAATAATGGTGCCACAGGCAAAATAGGCGTCATTGGACCCCCTGGAACTATGGCTGACATAGGCGCCATAGCTGCCACAGGTACTAAAGGAGTGATAGATACTGGAGTTGGTAAAAGAGGTGGCTGTGGTAATACTGCTAAAACAGGCGGTGGTGGTGGTATATTATTAACTGGCATATTTTGCATCGGATGAGTAAGCGGCAACGTTGGAAAAGGAGGAACCAATTCAGTCATTGCGCTGGGTTTCGATAGTGATGGTGGTATTTTATTCACAAATACTGCAGGGGGCGGTTTTGGCATCAATAAAGCAGTATCAAAATCAGAAGAAGCCAAGGTAATCGGAACTATTGTTGATGCAATCGGATCTATATTTGCTGTTATTAATGGTGTTTGCTTATTTAGCAGGGGGCATTTTGTATTTTCCTGTGACAAGTTAATATTAGTGTTCTTATTAAGGTAATTCACATTTGCATTAGTCTGAACACTTAGTTTTGAAGCAGTTATTGTACTAGAGGAAGTTGAAAGTGGTATCAGTTTTTCAAGTGGTGCGTTTGCAACGACCGGTGCGTTTGGTAATTTCGGAATATTTGATGGAGTTCTAGTTAAAGATTCTAGTGCTGTTTGAACTTTAGCTACCGTCGGCTGGGGTGTCGCATTGTCCATTTTAATAATCTTTCGTGATACCGTTTTCCTTTTAGGTGGTTTTATTTCCGCGCTTGATTTGCTTTTGTGCTCATTATTTATATCTGTTTCCATGTATGGCTCATCCTTGTTAAACGAATTTTGTTCAGTCTTTAGTTTTTCTTCCAATTTCCCAGTGAGCATTGCAATGCAGTCATTAATTTTCTTACTTCTTTTCTTACTGCAAGTTGCGGTGTCGATATATTGCGAGTTGTTTTTGAGTTCATTATTTCCTGATGCACATAAAGCCGTCTGTTTTTGTAAATCTGTTTGTTGTCCCGATTTGTTTGAACGTAAGCTGTCACAAACTCGACTTTCGGTTAAGAAATTTCCGTGTTCGGGAGCAGAGATTATTATTTCAGCCGCACATTCCACAGCAGTCGAAGGCTCTTTTGAAGGCAACGACGGAGTTCCACATTTACCTATGTCTGCTCCTACATTAGTAATACTACAAAAAGTGTTGCCCGATGTTGTACCAGCTGGAACTAATTTGTCGTTTAGATTCTTAAAATTTCGGCCATTATCTCTTTCTACATTATTTGAAAAAGTAGCTAAGGTTAACTTTTTTGTCTTGTTTTTTGAAAGCATCTTCTCCGCTTTATGATGTAATACTTTTTTATTTTTAGTTGATTTGTTTGAGAATTTGCATTTAACCTTAGATAGTTTTGAAATTTGTCTTGCACGTGTTGATCTTAGCCTCCCTTGGCTGCTGAATATTTTGTGCTTCGTAATAAATTTCGCCTTTTTAGTTTTCGTCAAAGCAGGAAATATTTTTTTACAAATTCGTTTTGGTGGCAGGTTTTCCAGCATCTTTTTGATTGATTCAGCTGAATAAAGAAAAAAAAGGCATTAAAAAACGGCAAAATAAACATGCTTTAGGTATTTTGGTCAGGAAGTATTAGTTTAATCAAAAATTCAAATATGTACATATGTATTAAACGTGTGCGCAAAACATTTTGCTTGCATAGTCTTCATAGTGTACACCAAGGCGAATACATATAAGGTGGTATCGATTGAACAAATACAACAATTACTTGTATTTGGTTTTTGCTTTTAGCGGGCCATTGTCAAATTTCAGCTATTCTTCCCCGAATGAAAAAGGGCGACAGAAAATGCAAACACTCTCACGTTTTCACTCACTCACTAACGAAATTCAAAATTTTGACAATCAAACGCTACTCACAGCTGATGAAACAACACCACCTTATATAATTTCGCCTTGGTGTACACCATGATACAAAAAAGAAGGTAGTTCCCAAGGCGAATTTATATAAGGTGGTGTTACTAGCTCAGCTGATTTTGTGTATGTGTTTCGCCGCACGGCTTCTGATATCAAATTGAAAAATTTTGTTTGAATTTCTACACACACTCTTACAGATTTTGACAGTTTATGCCGCCAAAGCAAAAACAAAATACATGTAAATTTTTGTTTTTGTACTCCTGCTATCACCTTATATTAATTCGCCTTGGTAGTTCCATTGTCACTTTTTCGTCGCCATATTAACAATCTGACAATTAAGCAGATTGTGACATTTTGTGCTACCATATCCAATATCTAAAATCCTTCAACTTTTATTATTAATTTTTTGTTTATTTAAAGCATTTTGTTCTTATAATCGAAATTTGAACAAGCAAACGGTCTTTTGTTGGCTATGGTTCGGTTATTTCTCCAATGATTTTGGGTTATTGTGTCCACACGCGTATCCCAAATAAAAAAAATGTGAACATACGCCTGCGATCAAAGGATTAAAATTTGATTCAAAATAAAGATTTAAAATTTTCGAACACTAAGTTGTTAATAAATTCGGTGTGAAATATGCACTTTTTTGTAGAAAATACCGTGTAGCCGGAGTTGGGCAGATTAAGGTTATTTTTCTAAGCGCGGCCGAAGGCCTCCAACGCGGAGGTATTCTGCGCGTAAGTTCTTTGGTTGCCGTAACCCGAGCTTACATTTTCTGGCAAAATGCTAAGTTTACCCCATTTTCAAATGGGTGCCGAGCGGTCAGAGAGGTGAAGGGTGACTGGCCTTAAAGTTTGGACCGTTCTCTTTCTAATGGGTGGTCATAAATTTTTTTTCACACTCGCTCCAATATTGAACAGTAAACTATATTTAAGGGATTCGCAAGCCACCATAAAAGTCGTATTATGAAATTTCACACCGTTAAAAAAGTATTTGGTTGTGGTTTCAAGTCCTCTAAACATTTGTTTAGCCGTTCAAAACTTTACGACAATAGGACACTTACGACACCTTGTGAACCATCTAAATATGTATTAAATTCACACCGAAATATGTATGTATCTTATTATATGTATATGTGCACTAAAATTTAATTAACCTAAATGGGAAGTGGTCATCGTATTTAGTGTAAAATTTAAACATTTTTAAGATTCGATTTTAATTACTTTTAAACAGTTAATGTTATTAAAACTATTTTATACCTAATCCCAAATTTATGATATAAAATCCCCTCTACCAAAAAACTTAAATTGGGTAACGCTGCTTCGAATTTTTAACAATTGAGCAATTGTCAAAAATCTGCTTTTTAATCAAAGTTGTTTATTGAAACTACCCAGTTGAACTTGAAGTGAGATCTCCTGAAGGGATGAACAGAAGAGTACTCCCTTTGACATGATTTTGGATTAATAGGAGAGATTTTTCTATTCTGTACTCTAATGCTACTCATTGTGGAGCAAAAGGGGAGATCTACCCAAGCGATGAATAAAAGAGTACTCCCGTTTACATGATTCTGGAGCAATAGAAAAGAATTATGCGTTGTGTACTCCCATATTACTCCCAGGTTGAACTTGAAGTGGGATCTCCTCATGGGATGGACAGAAGAGTACTCCCTTTGACATGATTTTGGAGCAATAGGAGAGATTTTTCTGTTCTGTACTCCAATGCTACTCATTGTGGAGCAAAAGAGGAGATCTCCCCAAGCGATGAATAAAAGAGTACTCCCGTTTTCATGATTCAGGAGCAATATAAAAGATTTCTCCGTTCTGTACTCCCACATTACTCATTGTGGAGCAAGTTATTTTTTCTTTTTAATTCAAAAATAAAAAATGTCTATCATTGTTAAAAAAATATTGCCGAATTGTGTCTGCTGGCTCGCGAAGTAAGTGACTAATTTAATTAAAAATATATAACAAATATTAAAATTAAAGATGACTGATAGTTTTATTTCAAAGCGCCATTTGAGGCGGCTTGTTAAAGCAGAATTAAATAAATACACAATTTATGAAGAAAAACCTGCGAAAGCATGTGATTTCAATAGTGACGATGGTGCTGTTGAACCCCAAATTATTGGTTCTTTCCAAAGTGCTGTTAGTTCCCAAACTGTGACGGAAGAACCGTTGGCTAAAAAATTGGCCATATGGGCTATAGAGAATCGTATAACAAGGAAACCGTGCAATGAACTGCTCGGAATTTTGAAAGAAAATAATTTAGCTATACCATCTACAAAAAAATCTCTTTTGCAAAGTTACCAACCAAATGAAATAAATGTTGTTCCAATGCCACCCGGTGAATATTTTCATTTCGGTTTGGAAAAATCCGTGCAAATTCATTTGAAAAATGTGGATGTCGTAGGGGAAAAGTTATTAATAGATATCTTCTGCGATGGATTGCCTGTTTATAAAAGTTAAAGTTAAAAACTTTAAACTGTTTAACCAATTTCTTTATGGTAAGATTATAGAAAATTTTGTATGTAGTACTTATATTTGTTTCCTTAAAAAATAACTTTTTTGCAGACGCTTTAAAAGATGACAACCTGACATACGACGGTTATGAAGAAACCTTTAAAAAAGCTTTTCTTAAAGCTAAAGCATCGTTTTACTGAAAAACTTATAAATTAAAAAAAGCTAATTGAGCATGTACTTGTTATTATTATCGTTATTAATATTCAAAAATATGTTTTATATGTTGTTCAATATTACTGTTAGAGAACGTAAAAATTTTATATGCTCTTGCTCAAAAAAATTCTACAATTAAAATGTAAATGTTATGTTACATGCAATTAAAAAAAAAAGATTAAATTAATAAATTAAACAAAAAAACGTTGTAATCGTATCTCTTCCGAATTTGTTGCTTATTAAATGAATCTCTTATTGCTCCATTATGAGGTTTTTATGATTACTCTTCAACTGCTTATATAAAGGAGGCTTGAGGGTTGATTCACCAAAATCCCCCAATGCTCGCTTAGGAGTAAAATGAGATTTTTAACAAAACCTCCCTCATTACTGATTTGGGAGGCTTTAGGGATGATTCTCCAAAGCTCCCGCATTGTTCGCTTGGGAGGAAAAGATTTTTAACAAAAACTCCCTCATTACTCATTTGGGTGGTTTGCGGGAAGATTCTCCAAAACTCCCTCATTACTCGGCTGGGAGAAATGTGAGATTATTAACAAAAACTCCCTCATTGTTCGTTTGGGAGGTGAAAAAGATATGCCCTCATAGGACAAGCAATGTAAAAAGCTAGTATACAAAATAGCATGCTTATACACAGAAGTATAGGGAGTAAAGGGGATTAATGCCGTACTCTCAAGGGAATACTCCCGGATTACTCAAACGATGATCCCTAGTTCTACTGGGTACCTTCTTTTTTGTATCATGGTGTACACCATGATAAAAACATAGTAAGGTAAAACCGTTCTCTCAATTCGTCGGCCATGATTTTTTTGAAGTTTGTCAACATTTTAAAATCATATAAAATTGAGAGTAACAAAAAGGAATTGTTCAAAGTTGTTGTTGTTTGAGATTGAAAATGAGAATGTGTGTGTGAGTTTGTGTGTAGAATTTTAAAATTAAATTGTTTGCAAACGTCAAGAATTTGAAAATTTTCTCTCAGCGGTTCTACCTTTCTATTTTTTCATCATGGTGTACACTATTAAACTGTTCTCTCTTTCACTGTGCTCGATTTGTCAGCAATATAATTTAAAAATTCAAAACTCAAACTCACACACACATTCTCATTTTCAATATCAAACAACAATTGTGAACAATTTCATTTTTTTATTTTCAATTTTATTCAACAATTTATATTGAGCTCGAGGCCGTTTTTTAAATGAAAATTTATTGTGGAAAAGCAACAATAATTTGAAAAATTGTAGAAGTGATAGCTATTTCGGAAATCACCACATTTCCTCATCAGACTTCTTTCAGTAGGATTCGAACCGACGATCCCACTGACTCAGCCAGTTGCCTATGCACCGTGCTAAG